AGCCAAATGGGACATCACTAATAGAGTGGAGCTAATGCAACAGACTGGGAGAGGAGGCTTAACCTTTTTGAGGAGAGGTATGATACATCAGCCAAAAAAGCCAGTACAGTTCTGTATGTATGTACTTTTGAGTTGCCTGTTGATTTATGGTGACCCATAAATGAATTTCACAGGGTTTTCTTAGGCAAGGAATCCTCAGAGGTAGCTTTTCCTGTTCCTTCCTCAAAAATATAACCTACAGCACCCAGTCTCCCATTCATTGGTGGTCTCCCATCCAGGTACTAACCAGAGATGATCCTGCTTAGCTTCCCAGATCACACAGGATCTGGTGCCTGTAGGCAGTGCTAAGCAGCATTGAAAGGAGTACAGTGTCCTGATCAAGGGAAGTGATAGTGCCACTCTATACTGCTTTGGTCATACCTCACCTGAAATACTGTGTCCAGTTCTGGGTACCACAGTTCAAGAGGGATATTGTCAAGTGTTCAGAGAATGGTGACCAAGACGAACAAAGATCTTGAAACGAAACCCTATGAGGAACAGCTTAGGAGCTGGGTATGTTTAGCTCGATGAAGAGAAGATTTGTGTACATCCTACTGAAAAGCCAATGTTGTTGCTCTTACCTGGTTCTCTTTGGTTAAGGTTTCCATTTTAGTGATGGAGGAATGGAATAATGTGTTTGGAATAATTCTCTCTAGACATAGCCACCACTGCTCTCATAACTTGCGTGTATCCTTGAATACAGTTCCAGATTAGTTGGGCTCTTGCCCTCTGATGTACCCATGATAGCAGTTGGTATTTCCACAGTCAATGTCTTAGGAGTATATCAGTTTCATCTTGCTCTTTCCACAGCAAACCTTAAGGAGAATGTGTTACCTGACTATCAAAGAGATGGCCAACATTTCAGAGGACGTTATCATTGTCACCAGCAGGTATACCAGTGTTCAGTGATCTGTGAATGGTGTCTTCCAGTACTGTCTCCTGCCATTCTCTTGGGCTTAAAGGCTTTGCTTCAGTCAAGAGCAGGGGTTGGCAAGATTTAGTTACCTGGGGCCAGTCGCTGGTCCCCAGGTCTTCCACCGGGCTGGGGGGGGGGGAATGTGTGAACGAGCTGTGGCCACCATTTTGGAAAACAGAATGGCGGCCGTGACTTGTTTGTGCATGTGCCAAGTCAAAGCCGCCATTTTGTTTGCCAGAATGGCGGCCGCAGCTCGTTTGTGCATGCACAGGAGTACTGCGAATGCGCAAATGAGTCGCGGCTGCCATTTTGGCAAACAAAATGGCAGCCGCGACACACGCACGGTGGTGGCAGTCGGCGGGCCAGGTGTGGCCCACGGGCCATAGGTTGCCGACCCCTGGTCAAGAGTCTTCCACATCTTGTGGTTCTTTCATTGCCTTCTCTATCAAAGGGCAAATGGTACAGAGGCAAGCCTGTGTCTGCCACCAAATGCAGCTGGTTTCCAGTGCACATTCTTGTCAAATGATATTGGTTATTTTAATTAAAAAAATAGATTATTAAATAATTACATTTACTTGAATTAAAGAATTATATTTATTTGATTGACTACTCTTGCAGGTACATCTGGTGGGAACAGGTGAGAGGGCCTTCTCAGTGGTGGCCCTCAGGCTCTGGAACTCCCTTCCCAGAAAAGTTAGACTGACACCCTCCTAACTTCTTTTTGCAGACAGGCAAAGCCTTTTCTATTCTGCCAGCCATTTGATGAGTGATGATATAAGGCCCATCTTATACAATGTGCTGAATATAGCTAATTGTCATGCTTGTGTGTGTCTGTGTCTGTGTCTGTGTGTACCCAGCTTGTTGGGGGGCAATCAGCTCACAGATGTAAACCGCTTAGACATCCCATGTGCGATATGAAGCGGTATATAAATGAAGCTGCTTTGCTTTGCTTTATGTTTCCACTTTGTTTTAATTTTTTTCTGATTGTTTAATTGAATTTTAATTTCTGCATTTTATGGATTTTTAACAATACTTTTTAATTGTTGAAAGCTGCTTTGAGTCCCAATCTGGGGAAAAGGCAGGATAGAAATAAATAGAATAATAGTATTATCATTATAATTGTTGATGCTGTGTGCCTTCAAGTCATTCCCAACTTAGGGCAAGCCTAAGGCAATCTTGTTATGGGGTTTTCTTTGTAAGATTTGTTTAGAATGGGTTTACCACTTTGTTTTCCTCTGAGGCTGAGAGAGTGTGACTTGCTCAAAGTGGGTTTCCATGGTTGATTGTAGTCCAATGCTCAAACCACTACATCACAATGGTTCTGTAAAGCATGATTATAAATAAATAAATAGAGGCTGAGTCTCCCTTATCCAAAATGCTTGGGATAAGAAATGCTTTGAATTTGGGATTTTTTCAGATTTTGGAATATTTGCATATACATAATGAGATATGTAAGTCTAAACATGAAATTCATTAATTTTTCTTTTTTTTAAAGAAAATTTATTTACTTTCATTTACAAACATATCACAAAAATCATACATATCCATACAAACAAACACTAACAGAACAAACATCGTCTTCTATCTTCTCTTCAGCTTTCTCAAACTCTTGTGGTTTCATTAAGCATAACTATAATTATATTCTTCATTTAAATTGCAGTTATACCATACAATCCATTTATTCAGTCCTTTTTACCTTACATTGAGACTGAGCTGAATAATTCGACCTAGTTGTGTTCTCTCTTCTATATATTGCATTACAGTACTTAAAAAGCTTCTTATTAATTATCTAATATATTATCCTGTCACTATCTTAGTAATCTCCCATCCCTTCTTATAAGTATTATTCATACTAATCATCAACTTGTCTAACCCCATCATTTCTATACATTTATTAGCCAATCATCTATTGAGGGTATATTTTTCTTTTTCCATTTTTGTCCATATATTATTCTGGCTGCAGTAATTGAATATAAAAGAAACTTTCCTATCATTTTCTCCTTCTACCATATTTAATAGAAAATATTCTGGGGTCATTCTTATATATATTTGTAATATTCTTTGTAGAGTCTTATGTACTTCCTTCCAAAATTTCGATGCGACTGGGCAAGTCCACCAGAGATGATATAGCAACCCATCATTTCTCTGACACTTCCAACATTTACCTATTTCATAACCTTTAGTTTTTGCCAACTTGTTGGGTGTGAGATACCACCAATGCAACATTTTATAGAAATTTTCTTTCAGGTCCATACATAACGTAAATTTTAAATTTTGATTCCATGCCCTTTCCCATTTGTCCATCTGGATCTGGTAGCCAAAATTTTGTGACCATTTTATCATACTGTTTTTAACTACTTCTGTTTCCAATTTGACTTTTGACAGCTCCTTGTATATTTTAGATATAATTCCTTTAGTTGATTCTATCAAGGCCTCATCTAGTTCATTCAAGTCTCTTTTGAAACCTTCTAATTTGAGGTCTTTTTTGAATCTTTTCCTTAGCTTGTGGTACGTAAACCAGTGACAATCGGATTCATCAATCTCATTACATATTTTCATTCTCAGTGTTCTCCCTTCCCGTATAGGATTTGATGATATCTCAGACATTCCTTTAGTTGTGTTTTGTGACCTATCATCCACACTTCTTACGGGGATATCCAGTATTTCTCTATAAATCTTGCTTTTGACTTCAGTCCACACTCTTAACAAAGCTTTTCTAATTATGTGATCATTAAACTCTTTATTCACATCTGCCCTTTTATACCAAAGACAGTCGTGCCATCCATATATATTTTTTGTAGCCTTCTAGCTTTAACATCTTGACATCCTCAAATGTTATCCAATTACAGATCCAATCTAATACAAAAGCATAATAGTATAGTTTAAGATCTGGGACTCCCAGTCCGCCTCTTTCTTTAGCATCTTTTAACATTTTCCATTTTATTCGGGGGGGTTTTCCAGCCCAGATAAATTTCGAAATGTCCACTTCCCATAGCTTAAATTCATATACGCCTTATACACATAGCCTGAAGGTAATTTTAAATATAATATTTGTAATAATTTTGTACATGAGGCAATGTTTGTGCACACTGAAACATCAGGAAGCAAAGATGTCACTATCTCAGCCACCCTTGTAGACAATTTTCGATTTTGGAGTATTTTGGATTTTGGAAATACAGATAAGGGAGACTCAATCTGTAAAAAAGGAGGGGGGAATAGCTGGGGAAGGGAAAAATGTAGGATATGAGCCAGTGGTAGGCATATACATTAATATAAGTTGACCATATTCCAAAAATACATTTTCTAGAAATTGATGTTTATAAAATATACATTCATGCATTGCTGAAGCAGAATATTACATGTAATTTCTTTAGATTATATTCCTGTTCAAGTGAAATTTTAACTGAGCTTCGATGTGGTTGGATCCTGTATGCTATTTACCTTGATTCATTTATTTAATGTAGACTTAATGTATTAATGGGGGGTCTGCCTTATCTTTTCCAGTCTGACCAAAGACATGACGGGGAAAGAAGATGTGTACCGAGGCCCTGCCATTCGAGCGCTCTGCAGGATCACAGATGTAAGTACAGTGTCGTCCGTTGGTTAAAGGGCTAAAAATAAAAGCCTTACTCAGAGCAGTTTGTCTAAGGACAGATCTTGCTCTTCCAGTTTTAACATCGGGTGTAGTCCATCTGGCATCCAGAAATATTTCTCTTTTTCCCTGTCCTCCTATGTCATTCTCCCCATGGCTTTAATGAGGTCAGCACATATAACTGAAGTGTAGGGGGGGAGAGTCAGGAATGGGTTTTCTGTAGTATTACTGAGGTTAAAAAAAGAATGGGAAGATGGAAGAGGATTCTCTGGGGTACTACTGATAATATTCATGAGATCCAGAAAAGGCAAGAGTAAAAAAGCTAGAGGCCTCTGTGGACCTCTTATGGAATATTGTATGAGGTACAGAACTGGAGGGTGCATGGTGCACCCAGTTACCTTAAAACCAGCATGATAGGGTAGAATAATTATAGATACTATGATGGTGTTGAGAGCCAATGTGGTATAGTGGTTTGAGCATTAGACTACGAATCTGGGAGACCAGGATTTGAATCCCTGCTTGGCCAGGAAAATCTAGTGGGTGACTGGAGGCCAGTCACACTCTCTTAGCCTCAGAGGAAGGCATTGACAAACTTCCTCTGGACAGATCTTGCCAAGAGAACCTTATGATAGGTTCTCTCTCTCTTTTTTTTCTCTTTTTTCTTTTAGTTTTATTTAAAATGTATCACAGGCCTTCATCAACATTCCAGAAAGAAATCACTTAAAATTTACATAGTTAAAATAATTATAACAATTAAAAACAATGTGGTTATCTCACAGAAAAATCAGATATTAAACAGTAGGTTCTCTTTAGGATTGCCATATGTCAGAGGGAGATGACTTGAGGACACATAACAATAAGAGCTACTGGGGTATAGTGGTTTGAGTGTTAAACTAGGACTGTGGATATCAGGGTGTGAATCCCCACTCAGCCATGGAAACCCATTGGGTGACTGTGGGTATCTTTCAGCCTCAGAGAAAGGCAAGGGCAAGCCTGTGAACAAATTTTGCCAAGAAAACCCAGTGATAACTTCATAACTTGAAGGCATGTAACAATAACAAATGATGGTGGTAATGGGAAGTGATGCTGAACCAAAACCTCGGCCTATTGAACTCTGAAGTTGTTGGCAGGCATTGAAGATATGCTTCTTTCTATGAGTATGAGGACTAGAAACTTATTTTCAAAACGATGAGTGAACTCCTTAGGAGTCTATGTGCAGCTGTTGAATTCTGTCTGAAATTTGCAAAAGACCCACAAGAGGAAAGGAGAAGATAGAAACTCTAGTTCTTTATTCTTCGTATTTCTGGCAACTAGGCTGGCTCAGCAGAATGTCACCCTTGTTTTCCCTTTGGCTTTGTAGGGAACAATGCTTCAGGCCATTGAGAGGTACATGAAGCAAGCCATCGTTGACAAAGTCCCCAGTGTGTCCAGTTCAGCGCTGGTGTCTTCCTTGGTAAGCAATGAAGTGTCATGGCTGCCATCTGGGTGGACATATTGTGCTCAGAGGGACTGAGCACAGGGTGTGAGTAACTGAACAATATCTCAGTCATGTTGATTTCTGTGTGATTGCTTCTTTGTCTGCATTTTTTTCCTATCTGCCAGTCTGTGAGATATTTGACCGTCTCTATCAGAGTTCTGGTGCTGTCTGTGTTAGAGTTCTGGTAGATTGTGAAACAGGAAGAGGGGGGATAATAATAATAACATCATCATCAACAGCAGCAGCACCTCATGTTTATGTCTCCTTTTTCTGAATTTGGAAAAAGGGAGAATACACTCACTATCTCTAAGGATTCCTTATATTAAAAAAATGCTACAAAATTAATGTAGTCACCATAAGTTGACAGGTGAGTTGAAGGTGCATGCACACACACCCAAACACACTAAGATCATATGATGGTCTCAACACCATCATAGTATCTATAATTATTCTACCATAGTACACTGGTTTTAAGGTAACTGGGGTGTGCCATGCACCAGTAGTATTGATTCTGTTCAATGATTTCCAGCACATGATGAAGATCAATTATGACGTGGTCAAACGGTGGATCAATGAAGCCCAGGAAGCTGCTTCCAGTGACAACATCATGGTACAGGTATATAGAAATGGCGGTGTCTGGGTGGATTTGGCTCTGCGTACTCTATATAATAATACCGTATTTTCCGGCATATAAGACGACCGGGCGTATAAGACGACCC